AAACTGAAGCGTACTGAAAAGAAGAAACAAACAACCCCATTATAAAATGGGCAAAAGACATGAACAGACACTTCACAAAAGAAGACATTCGAGCAGCCAATAAACACATGAAGAAATGCTCAACCTCACTAATCATCAGGAAGATGCAAATCAAAACCACACTGAGATACCACCTAACTCCAGTCAGAATGGCAATTATCAACAACTCAAAAAATAACAGCTGCTGGAGAGGGTGTGGTGAAAAGGGAACACTTCTACACTGTTGGTGGGAGTGTAAACTAGTGCAACCTCTGTGGAAAGCAGTGTGGCGATTCCTAAAAGCTCTAAAAATTGACCTTGCATATGACCCTGCAATCCCCCTACTGGGAATATACCCTGAAGAACACAAATCACTCTATAAAAAAGATACCTGCACACGTATGTTTATCGCAGCTTTGTTCACAATAGCCAGAACCTGGAAACAACCATGCTGCCCATCAAAAGAGGACTGGATTAAAAAAATGTGGTACATATACACGATGGAATACTACACAGCCATAAAAAAGAACAAAATCATGAATTTCGCTGCAACCTGGATGGAACTAGAATCTATAATACTGAGTGACCTCTCACAAAAACAAAAATCCGAATATCACATGTTCTCACTCATATAATGGACCTTGAACATCCAATGTAATACTATAAGAAAATGACTGATGGTACTGGGAAACTATGGGGGGGAGGGGGATGGGATTAACAGTAGCAAATATCTGCTGGGGATGGGAAAACACCTCTTATCAACAGGGTGCCTGAAACGTAATTGTACACCTAATCCTTAACTGTACCCCACAAAACCATAATAAAAAATATTGATTAATAAAAAAAAAAAGAATTGACTATGCTGAGCTTCAAGGCAGTGACAAGTTGAAAAAGAAAATAAAAAAAGAGAAAAATGAAAAGAAACAAAATAAGAAAAAGAAAAGGAATTATGAAAGGAGATCTAAAAGAAAAAGAATTAAGTGTACAAGAAAAAATATGAACACAAGCTGAGAGTTGGGAACAGAGTATAGGATGACCAACTTCTTCTGATTTTCCCAGAATTTTCCAGACTTTATTGCCAGAAATCCTGCATTCCAGAAGTACCCTGGGTTCCTAGGAGTGATTGCAGTGTGAGCAGAAAGCAGTGAGGAATGAGGTTAGCTATGTGAAAAGGCACCAGATTACCGGGGGCCTTGAAACCCATTCAGGTGGATGGCGATGTGTTCAGACCAGCAGTAGGAAGATTGCGTGGCAAAAAGACTGGGAAGGCTTTTGTCAGAATATGAAGTGAAGGGAGGAGACTCTATAAGTGAACACGTGCTCCTTCATCCTCTCCTGTTCATAAATTGCTCCTTCCTGTTCTGTTTCTCAGCTGAACTGTGGTCTCCTATGTTTCAAGCTGCAATGTGCACACTAGTAGCCTGGGATCTTGTTAAAATGGAAATTCTGATGTCTGTCATCTAGATTGGGGCCTGAGATTCTGCAGGTCCCACAAGCTTCCAGCAACGTTGCTGCTGCTGCTGCAGATGCTTTATGTAATAAAACCCTGGACCCACTCTCTCCTCTATCCCTTCAGGAGCCCTACCATCGGTTGTGCTCCCTTACTCCTCTGTCTTCAACATCTACCACTCCTCTAACTCCCTTCTTTCAGTCTATAACTTTGCTCATCAGTACAGGGTGGTAGTTTCATTCCTGAATCCTAGCTGTTCTACTTACTTGCTCTGTATCCTTGGGAAAGTGGCCTAACCACTTCCTTGTCTGTAAAATGGGGATAATAATATTTCCTACCTTGCTAGTGTTTGGTGAGTAGTCAAATGAGATAATGCATATAGAGTGTTTATAGTGTTACTCAACATACAGTAAGAGCACTGTGGGGCTTAGCTAGAATCTACTAATTTGCTAGGACTGCTATAACAAATGACTACCAATTGATTGACTTTTTCTTTTCTCTGAGTAAAATATATTCTCTCATAGTTCGAGAGACCAGACATCCAAAATAAAGATGTTCACAGAGTTGATTCCTTCTGGAAGCTCTGGGAGATAATCTATTATATACTATATAATATTTTATATCTCTATATAGTTCTAGTTTCTGGTGGTTGTGGCAACCCTTGGTTTTCCTTGGCTTGTAGACCCATCACTGCAGTCTTTGTGTTGTCTTCACCTGGTCTTCCTCCCTGCATGTCTGTGTGTCCTCTCATTTTCTTATAAGTACATCAGGCATTGAATTTAGAGACTTTTCCTAATCCAGTATGACCCCACCTTAATTAATTATATCTGCAAAGACTCTATTTCCAAATAAAATCACATTTTTAGGTTCAGATGGATGTGAATCTTGGGAGACATTATTCAGTCCACTGTATAGAGTAATAATAATTATCATTGTTATCATTATCATATTTGCCACATTTTAAACACATTTGTCAATGTTTTGCTGTGTGGGTTTCATCACACGCCTGTCTATCCATCTATCTTATTTTCCTCTATCCGTATTAAAATACATCTGGTTTCTTGAAAAGCAGTCTAAGATACACCTCACTACTACCTGGATTCTGCCCCCAACTCAACCTAAAACTGCAGCTACCAGGATGCCCTCATGGCCAAATACAGCAACAACTCTCAGTTCTTACCTGATTTGCTTTACCTAGTTTCCTAGCTACTGCTACCCCCACCTTGGCTTCCCCAAGTCATTCTCAGTTTCTTCTCTTTTGATTCCTTGGAGTCTTTCTCTTCAATCTCTCGTAATGCTTTCATTTCCTTTATCCCAGCTCCCCATTATTTCACATGTGGGCATCTTCTTTTCCCACGTTACAGCCCTACAAGAGTGATTGGCTACCGCCTATATTTTGAGAACTCTCTCAGCCATGCGTCAGTGATGACAATGGCCCAGATTTTGATAGAGTGGGAGGTGCACAGCTGTATGTACTTGTCATAGCTCATCACATGATAAACCTAAGGTGTGTGCATTTCATGGTTATGTAAATGTTACATAACCAAGAACTGTAAAAAAAAATTGAACTTTATTTAATGCTAAATTAGAAATGAGGTATACTGATGTCAACAATTTAATTTGAAATACATCAGAAATAAAATGGATGGATAGAGAGAGAGGTGTATGATGAAAATCATACAGCAAAACATTGACAATTATAGAATCTACTTGGTGGGTATTGGGACGTTCACCATATAGTCCCTTCAGCTTTCCTATGTGTTTGAAAATTATTGTGATAACACACTGAAGGGGAATCTTATCTCTGGGACAGACTTCTCTGCTGAATTCTAAGCCTTGTGATAATATTAATGTACATATTCTTCATTCTTGGAGGCCAATTTCATTTCTTATAATTGAAGCTCAACCATTCATGCAACAACCTTGACTTTGAGGACTTGTTGTGGGGCAAGCACTATTGTAGGTTCTGGAGCTACAGAGATGATTTTTAAAACTCTAACCGAGGAGATTTGAGGTAAGATGGGGGAAGAAGATTCAAGGATAATTTTCATGAGTTTAGCTTTAGTGGGTGAGTGTTGGTATCATTAACTAGGGCAGGCTAGATAGCTAAGTGGCCAGACTTTGAGCAGAGAGATGGATACTGAGTTTGATTGAAACTACCTGCAACCACCCATGTAGAAACATACACTAGTTGAAAATATGGGTTTTGAATGAAAGAGAGACATCTGAATTAAGCATGGGAAGAAAAAGAGTGTCCAGTAAGAGAATGTGAAAGGAGGTGAGAATTGGAACCAGAGCTCTGGAAACCAGTATTTTAAGATGTGGACTACAGAGGTAGAGTAAAAAAAAAAGTTTGAAATAGGAGGTTCAGAGAGATATGAAGAGAATAAAGACAGAATTCATAACTTAGAGTTGGTACCTTTGGTCTAAAAAAAGTTTTAAATGGCCCTTCTGAACAATTGTTTTTGTTTGTATTCTATCATCACCAACAATGGTAAGAGGCTCACTGATGTACTCTTCAGTAAGGCCAACTGAAGTTCAGACCAGGTCTTCAAGACTAGAAATTATGCCTTCAAGAAATAAACTGAACCCTACTCATCTAGAATACATAAACCAACAGTGTCTAACCATGCAGTATGTTTTTAAGAGTACATGAGCTCTGTACAAGAATTGCACTGGGCAGCAGAGGTGATTGAAATCAAAGTATTACTGAAGGTTGAAAGTTTTTTTTCTTTTTGGTGATATCTAAGATAAATAGCATATATATATGTATATATATATATGCCTGTATTCCTACTTGCAGTGATGTTCACAATGGCAGCTTCAATCGTCATGGGCAAAAAGGACAAGGGGACTCTAATGTGACGGCTCAGTATCCTATAGAAGTCTCTCAATATTTCAAATATAGAAAAAAAGATGGTTCTTTGAATCGTCTTGTGATACATAGAAATCTAAATGTGCTCAACTCAAAAGAGACTAAACAGTATCCATCTGTACAAAATTCATATTGAGAGTAGTCATTTACTTATATTAAAGCATCATCTGTTACATTCAATTAAAGTGGATTTGAGATTTAATAAATGTATTGTTTGGGGTTTATTTATTGTATATGGATTCTTCTAGTTCCATATTTTTATAAAAGATATAAAAAGCAGCAGTGTAAGCATTTGGAAGTCAATCCTAGTGGACCTTTGAGAAGTTTTTTTCTTTAAAATGGGCTATGCTTTTCCAATAAAAGCGTCTAACAGTCCTTCTGATACTTCCAAGACCTATTAAGGAGATCATTTTGTTTTGAATTTGAAACCCTCTGCGTTTATATTTCTGTGCTTAGTAGACAGTATTTTAAAATTGTTAGTTTGTTGCCTTCCTTTCTTTTTCAGATAAAGCTATCTGACTTTGGTTTCTGTGCTCAAGTTTCCAAAGAGGTGCCCAAGAGGAAATCATTGGTTGGGACTCCCTACTGGATGGCTCCTGAGGTGATTTCTAGGCTACCTTATGGGACAGAGGTAAGGGGATCACAGTCACTGGGAATGGCATGACCAAGGGCAAGCTTGAGGATACAATGGTTCTGTGATAGTTGGTGACCACAGGAACTCAGGGAAATCACTTTTGATTCCACATTTAATCCTCACTTATTAGATGTGGCACAGGATAGACTATAGTAGAAGGGAGACTGACCATCCCAAGGACAGCACCCAATATTTTTCCTAGGGCTGTTTATTGCAGTCCTACCATGGATACAAGTGGAGAGTCACTCAAACTCTGATCACTCTCTCAGTGGCAGGCACATAAAAAGCAAGGTAATGCAACTTAAAAAGTGGCCAGAGACATGCAGATGAACAGGCATGATGATTCAAAGGATTGGACAAAGCATTGGACAAAGAGGTATATTCAAATGAGTAATAATACCTTCATATGACTATTATATCATATTTAAAAATATGGCACTATTTCTATTTCCCCCTGGTTAGAAAACAAGCACTCATAATCTATTAAGGAATAGGGCCTGGATATGAAAATGAGGGCCCACAGTAAGTAGAGTAAAGGCCTTCTAAGGAGGAAATAGAGGAAGTAGAAGCTCAGAGGCACACAGGCTACCTGTCCATGAAGGCCAAGGGATTGGCTTTGGCTGAGCATGGTGTCTCCACACCTTATAATGGAGATTGTGATTTTAAGTTAAGGCAAACTCTTTTTTGCTTGTTTGCATGACATTAGATAGGTACTCAACTTGTTTTCCTTATTGTGGTCTCAAGAGATAAATTCTCAGGGAAGGTCACTAGAGAGCAATAGTAATGCACTGAACAGATAAGGAGTGTAATGAGGCCATAGCAGTGAAATGACTAGAACTGGGAATTTATAGCCCAACGCATTGTCCTGACCTCCCATCCTTTACTCAGAAAGAATTGCTTGTCAGCTCTTCCTTTTCTTTTCTTCTTTCCCTGAAAATGGTTTTGTAAAGCAAGGTTTTATGCATGCTGCTTTGAAATGATAAACCATATGGGGAAAAAAAAAGTTGGAGGGAAAGAACTATTTTTTAAAGCAAATTAATAAAAGAATAAGAATATATTCTGCATGATGCAGTGGAGTGCTTTGCAGTTTGTTACAAATATGTCAAAACTTTATTTTCTTATGTTTTAAATGCAACTTCCCTCTCTATTTTCTTAACATGAAACTTTGGATGTTTTTTCAGTCTCCCCTGTTCACTAACTGTCAAAGTTAACAGGGTAAAATTAAAGGATTAAACTTCAACATGTTGAGGTAGTCATATGTATCTTGTTGGTGGGATCTTCACCGAAGTTGTCCATAAAAATCAAAGGTCATTAGCAAAAATTCAGTATCCCAAGGATTCAGCCTATGAATCTGTATTGTCAATTTTGAGAGGTTACAAATTCCATATTCATTTGTGAGTGGGAATCTACTGGATTCCATGGGCACATCCTACACTTCAGAATGTTCTTCTGGCCTAAGTTAACAAGTTGACTGTGTCTAACAGGTAGACATCTGGTCCCTTGGGATCATGGTGATAGAAATGATTGATGGTGAGCCCCCCTACTTCAATGAGCCTCCCCTCCAGGCAATGCGGAGGATCCGGGACAGTTTGCCTCCAAGAGTGAAAGACCTACACAAGGTAAGAGGCAGCAGCTGTTGCTGTAGTTCAAAATAGTCTTTGGTTGTTTCAGTCTTTCTGTGGTTTATCACACTCGATAGGTAGATCCTGGCTTATGGGCATGAACTTTGTAATTAGTCACTGAGATTCAAATCTCTGCTCTTCCATTCATTCACTGGGCAAGTGACTCAGCCTCTCCTATGCCAAAGTCCATCATCTGTAAAATGGATCAAAACTGGCTCCTATTTCAAAGGGTTGATTAGAAGCGTAAATTTCTTGATCCACTCAACACTCACTCATTGTGCCCCTAATATGTGCTGGGGACTTCTAATTGTTGGGGATATCACAGTGCATGTCTCCAGATTTCCTGACTCTTGCAAAGCTTGCATTCTAGTTGGGGAGACATATGATAAACTAAACAAATGGATAAGAAAAATAAATGCAGAGAGTGATGCATGCTATGAAGAAAATAAAGTACTGGAATGTGATGAAATGTGCAGGAGAATGGACTGGGAGCTAGTTTAGACTGAAGAGTGAAGGAAGCCCTTTCTAGGGAGGGACTGACCTGGGACCTGAATAGAGTGAAAGTGAAAGCCATACAAAGATCTGGGAGGATAATGTCCCAGGAAGAGGGAAAATCAAGTGCAAAGGTCTTAACCCAAGAAAGAAGGCTTATATGACAGGAATGAATTGAGCAAAGGGAAACAAAGGTAGGCCATGTCAAGAGGTAGGCAAGGGCTAGATCTTGAAATTCAGTGAAAGTCATGGTTAATATAATGCATGCAAGTAACCCAGTGGGGTCTTTCCTATTTTCCAAGAATTGCCAATTAGGCAAAGATTGGGGGGAAATGATGATAAGTTCAAAGATCACCACTGTGGGACTGGGACTGCCAGTGCCCGACAGGACTTGCTGAGAGGGGCATTAATAGGACTGACCCTGCACTCACCTCTCTTCCCATGTGCTTCATGCAATAAGAGAGAGAATGAGGCTACCATTTGGAAAGAATAGTTTGTAACAGTAGCATCTCCTCTTCCCTCGCCCCTATATCTTAAGCAAGTGTTCAGTAGAATCACTCTTTTTACTGAATTGAATTAAGTTTAAATAATGAAAAGTAACTACAAATATATTGTATGAATCTCGTCCCTAATGAGTATCAATGTTCTTCAAAGCCATGTACAAGAATAACTTTAATCCTAATGGCTTCAAAAACTTGGAAACCACCTACTGTTGTTTCACAAATGGATAACTGTGGGTGTGGTATAATTGGACAGTAAATACTACATCGTAATGAAAAAAGACATAACATCCCACATGTCAGGAATGAATCTCACAGATACAATGTTGAGTGAAAGAAGCCAAACAGAGAAGAGTTCACAGTATATAACTCCATTTTGATAAAATACAAAAGTAGGCAAAACTGATTGATGCCATAGAAGTCAGGATATTGGTGACCTTTAGCAGGGGGATAGGTATTGGCAGCAAGGAGGCCTGAAGTAGCTTCCTAGAATGACAGAAACATTCTATATATTGACAGGAGTGGAAAGTACATAGGAGTAAATGTGTATAAACTCTATGAAAACATATATTTAATATTTATGTACTTGAAGTTGGACACAAAGGCACATGCCTGTTGTTCCAGCTACACAGGAGCTGAGGTGGGAGGCTCACCTGAGCCCAGGAGTATGAGTCCAGCCTGGTTTTATCTATCTATCTATCTATCTATCTATCTATCTATCTATCTATCTATCTATCTATCATCTATTTGTTCATCTATCATCTATCTATATCTGTATATCATCTATCTCACTATTTATCATCTAAGATATATCTCAAAAAAGTAAATTATAAGACATTAATGGGGAAAATTGCAATGTGTTAGATTACTTGCAGAAGCCTGTTTCTTTTTAAGAAAGGAGGTTTCACAAAGCCTAGATGGTGAAAGTTGTTAGAAAAATAAAACTATTCCATGTTTATACTGCACTTCATCAAGCACATGTGACCAGCACCCATATGTGATAAGCACTTCACAATAACTGCTCTTATCATGATTACTACCACTGTTATTTTATTTGGCAGATACGTTTATGTTCTTAGTTGCACCATCGTTTGCCCCTATTATTTTGAACTTGAAGAAGGTAAGAAAAATGCCATGCATTGATGAAGGCAGTAACTGCTTTTGTAGCATCTTTCTCCTTAAAGTGACTTTGTAGAACTTGCAGTTGTTGATAGGATTAATTGGGAGACTATTTTAGGGCACTGGGCTAGGTTTCTGTGCTAGTTTTCAGGATGGTATCTGTGTGTTTCCACAGGTTTCTACAGTGCTCCGGGGATTCCTAGACCTGATGTTGGTGAGGGAGCCCTCTCAAAGAGCCACAGCCCAGGAACTCCTTGGACATCCATTCCTAAAATTGGCAGGTCCACCATCTTGTATCGTTCCCCTCATGAGACAATACAGGCATCACTGAGCAGAGGATTCATATAGGTGACAAAGCTAGATGAGGACTTGAGAATAATTCAAGAGAACATGAGGAAACCACAGAACTTGCAAAAGGCTTGTGCATTCTAGACCAGCTGATTGGTGGGACAGTGTGGTGACCGGCAGGGTTCGACAGACCAGGGCATCTTCTTGTGTCTTAAGCAGGCATCTCTCCATTGACAGCTGGCATGGTCATTTGGAGCACGGCTTTAATAAGTCATATAATATTTTTCAGCCCTTCATCCAGCAAATCAGAAGGACTTAGTACAAACTCCGTTATGATATATCCTAGCCACATGCAGGGTAATGCATAGGATTTTCTATATTGAAAGAATACTTTTCTGGCAAAAAAAAAAAAAAAAAAAGAAAGAAAGGAAAACAAAAAGCACTTTTTTCTTAATGGTAGCAGTATAATGTATTTTGCAATGAATTTGTAATTTTTCTGTATGATAGTTTTGATAATTTATAGTACTTTGATGTCATGTAGCCATTGTATCAGTTGAAGTAATACTTGTTTACTAGCAGGAGTTTGAACAAAGCCTTTCCTACTTTTTTATCCCTTTCAGAGAACCAATGATTCTTTAGGAACTTTGAATACTGAATGACTCTCAATCACCGTCAGCTTTAGTAGAATATCTTTCTTATCCTAACAAGTGTCTTATGTGATGGAAGAAGAATTCAGAGTGATGGTGATAGTGTGCACGTTTCATTAATCCAACCAAAAATAATGAAATAAATTTGAGCCACAATATACCATCAAACTACTCCTTGGGGAGAACGCTAAATATTTTTGAAAAATCATTTTTTCATCAAGACTTCCAGTAGCAAACCATTTTTGCACACCAGGATGTTTCCCTTAGTGCCCATCCTCAAATGGGTATGGCATCCCCTTGTGGCCAAATTTCCCTCCCAGGGAGCAATTTCAGTGCTAGGATCATTGGACTCGGTTCCCCAATTTGAATGTTTCAAGGAGACTGTGAGAATTCTAGGCTCACAAAGGGAGAGGAGAGTGAACAGGGCAAGATGTTTGGTTTCATTTGTCACTGTTTTTAACAATCTGTATGCTAGCTCACCAAACTCTTGTCTGTATTTATCTTGGTACCACAGTATTAATTGCTATTGTTCATGTATTGTGCTGGGAGTCTGGACTGACTCTAGAGGATGAATTAGCAAGGGAGTGTTTTACCAGGTATGATCTGATTTCAGTTGTGCCCATGTTATAATGTGTTTCCAACATAGGAGAGTTGTGCTGCTGTCTAGATCTTCTGAATGTTGATAAAAATGAATGACTACTACAATACATTTTGTGTTGCTTGTTGGATGAATTTGCATGTTAACTGTAGGCCAATATAGATTTGCCTTTAAAACTCTGGAAGAGCTACATAGTCATAATTAGTTTCTATCAATTATGCATCTGACAAAAGCCATTTGTTACCAAACTGGAGAAACAGAGGCTTTTCTTAATAATTTTACATGCTGTAACAAATAAGAATTTAAATTTGTGAAAATGCTTTGGTTGTTCTAAGCATAATTAAGAATTTTTGTAATTAATAGGTTGCTAATTATTTATTACCGCTGAAAAGGAAAAAAAGGCATAAAATGACCTTCTACTGATTAGATTTTCAGTTTTCCTTCAAACTGGAAATGCCTCACCATAAATAGAATCTATACTTTTGTTTCATAAAACACAGCAAATCAATGTTTTGTGTAAAATATTACAGTATTAATATAAATATATAAAATAAAATGGCAGCCCTAAAAGTTCATGAAATAGATTGTATTAATTTAACCAGGACTATGTAGAAGTAGAAAGAAAGGAAAATCTTTTTTAAACTAGAACAAACATTTAAAACTGTTAAAGAAAATAGTGGATTTTGGATCCTAAACATTTTCGACAATGTAATGAGAAATTTTTCTGTAATTTTCTTACCATTGGGTATTTTTTAAGGTATTCATTGAATTTACCAAATTTGCAGTAACTTAAAAGGTTTTATGAGCACTAACTATTGGCAGAAACTGCTCTTGCAAATAAAAATAAATGTTTGCCTTTTCCCCATCGTGTTATTGGGAACTCGAGTAATTTCCTGAATTTGTTTTCTTGAGTAACTAAGAATGGTTTCTTTGTGATCTTGGAAAATGCAATTGAGTTGCTATAGATTTGTATGTAACATGATGAGAATATGAACTAAAGACAGGTATTCCCATCCCCAGATGTTGCAAATAGGGTAAGATTGTGATATAAATACCACTATTGAGGAAAAAAATACATCAATATAATAAATTCTGAAAGACCAAGTTCAATGTAAATCAGATGCAAGACTAAAGACTCCCACTCCACTTCCCTATTTCAAAGATGCTAAACTGATCTAAGAGCTTTAAGTAACAAAAAATATGAAAAGGACCTGGATCAAGGAGGATGTATCGAGAGTTCTCTGGGAGACTAGAAGACAGTGTTGGTCCCCTTTCTCCTTCGCCTTTGGATGACAAGGGAGACATTAACTTTGAACTCATGAAGTACAGGTGGATACTTGTATATAAATAGCCCATTTCTCATCTGGAAATTTTGAAAGGTGACAACCCTTAGGAAGTACCCTGAGATAGCAAGATAAGAAAGTAGGTTATATATTGTGTGCCAGGGAAGAGAAAAATGGAAGCAGTTGCCCCTCACCCCAAACAGTTCTCCTCAGCCTTTACTAGGCATAGAAGACACTGTGTTTCCATGGCTACATTTCATGGAGCATGAAGAGGAAGGGGGGAACATATCAAATCACTTAACTAGGTAACGGGATGCTTAACCCACAGAATGCATTGGAGACATGCACCAAGGCAGGAACTTGGCGGGGAGATATGGCTACTTTTCTACAGTGAGCTGGGGTCAAGATAGAGCTGAACCTTACTCTAAAAACCATATATGCCATCTACACAAGGCCACTCCATGCAGCAGAGGTGGCAGTATTCAGCAGAACCAAAATGAGATTCAGGTCTATCTCCTTCCTCCGATAATATCTCCAAGGCAGCTGACCATAGTCACCTACGTTATTGGAACCTCCCTTGTCTACTGGTCACTGAAGAATTGGGCCCTGTGTTAGTGTGAAGCCCTATGATTTGAGGAAGGGATTTAAGAGAATGAAAAGGGAAATACAAGAGCATACCATGTATCTTGCCACTCCCTCCTGGCTGCTACTTCTTTATCTGGTACAAATTTAGTCTGAGCAAAGGAGAGGTGTGTTATCTTTCAATTAGAATGAGATTGATTTTTTTTTTTAAACCGGATTAGACAGATGGGATCAGACTAAGTTATGGTTGTGTCCCCATTACCTCCTGGAAAGAACACACAAGTAGCACTGGAAAAATAAGATAATTTCATGAACTTACCAACCCAATGAGTCCAGACTGCTTGGTCATACTGATGAAATGAACAGCACAGTGTCGTCAAAGAAATGATATTGAGATTCAAGGCAGAGAAGAGATCCATTCAGTCTAGAGTGGATGTAAAATACACAAGCCGAAGAAATTGTGTGAAAGTGCATGATACAGTACAAATCCACATTGTATAGGAAAGTTGATCGATTTGAGCTTTGAAATGTGTGCATACTAAGTTGCATTCCTAAGTTAAATGAGTATATTATCTTAGTGTGTCTTCTGCCAAAATAAGATCCTGGGACAAAGATTTAGGCACAAATAACTTGTTTGAGGGATGACCTCAAGAAACCCAACCTGGAAGAGTGAAAATATGAGATAAAGAGGGGAGCAAAGTCAAGATAGTGTGTTTTAATGAATGAGATATCATCACAGGCAACTGGGGCTCTATCCTATTGGAGAACTTCTGAGACACTTCAGAACTGTCCTCCTGAGGGCTGAAGACATCGGGGTATTTTTTCACCATTTCCTTTCCCTCACTAGTTGAGGGTTGCTCCCAGGGCATCAACTGCCAGAACTTCTACCTCGCCCCACACTTGGGCCAAGTTTGTTCTCTTTGCCAAAAGGATATAGGAACTGTCAGCAAATGACCTCAAGGAAGGGCCGAGGGAACACAAGGGTACCCTGACAGCATCTCCCACATAAATTGAATTAAGGACCAAAAAGAAGACTTGAGAAAGTCTATGGACTGCTGATTTCTGGATCAAAATAGGCTGTTTTGAAAGCAAAGGCATATCTCATCCTGAAAGATTTGCTTACATGGCAAATGCTTTGATAATTATACTTCATCATTGTCAGAATTTTTTGAAACTTAAAGCTGGAAAGGACTTCAGCATCTTGTATGATCCATCTTAGCAAAGCTAACCAAGACCCCAAAGAGTTAGTTAATGATAGCACGTTAATCATGTTACTTGTTGAGTAACTGTTACCTAAACTGCATGGAACCAGAAGTGTTTCAGATTTCAGAATTTTTCAGATTTGGGGATATTTGCATTGCACTTTCCAATTGAGCACCCCAAATCTGAAAATCTTCAATCTGAAATGCTACAATGAACATTTCCTTAGAATGCTATGTGGGCACTCAAAAAGTTTTGGAATTGGGATCATTTTGTACTTCAGATTTTTTGAAGTACCTAAATTAATCACACATGATTTTGTACCTAAATCGATCACACACACACATTTCAGTTTCATGAGGGCAGAGATTTTTACCTACTTTGTTCACTGATGTGTCCCCAGTCTCCAGAGTAGTATCTAGAAAGTACATGATCAGTCCTAATAGATACTTTTGATCTCATTTGTCACATGAGCCTTTGTAAATCCTTTCTCAACCACCTGATAGGTTCTGTCACTTTAAATGACAACTGAAGTACCGTTAACCCTAAACCCCCTTGGCTGTCTGAGTTTATAAAGTCCTTCTCAGAACTATGTATTTAAGTATATAAAATAAAATACATAGGCTTACAACAAAAGCTAGTTATAGTTATCAAAAGATTGTTTTTAAATTTGTGGTTATAATGCATTGACTAACATAATCTTGTGATGGGTCTAATCACTACCATAATTTCAAAGTAATGAGTATAAATTATTTTTTGAGATATAGCCAAGAGTAATATGGCCATTTCTACTGATGACAGATTACAGGCCTTGCTTGTCCTAAAGTGGTTTGGTGCATATATTCATCATTGAAGGAAAACTTACCTTTCATCTGAAGTTATAAAAATTAAAGATGTAATTTTTTCCTGACCAAGTTCATGAACTCTGACAGGTTCCCTCACCCCCAAATTGACAACCTCCTCAGTGATTTGATGGGCTGGGGTGAGGGTAAGGGGGATCCCTGCCTAGAAACATACTCTGAATTTGAAATAAACTGACACAGAAAACTGTGAATGCCAGGTTAAAAACTCCTGCATTAGTCCCTTTGTATCTTTCATGAACACTTGTTTGGCAGGTAAAATTGGAACACACATGTTAAGAATTGTGCTAGCAAAATGTCATTAATATTACCTTTTAAGGAGCATCTGTGTTGCACCAGGCATTGTGTTAGGGACTTCCATGTACTTTCATGAATCCTTAGATAACTGCAAGAATGAGGGGTGTGAGCTTCATTTTCAAATGAGAAAATGAATACAGAGATGCCCAATAATTCTGATAATGTTGCATGTACACCAATAGTAAAGACTTTTTAACCAAAAGTCTTCATATTTCTGGATCAACCTGACCTGGGAGTGTAGCAAAGCTACAGATTCTAGGGTCTCACCACAGAGATTCTCAAGCAGTCATCCTGGAATGATGCTCAGAACTGACCTTTCTCAACAGTTCCCTGGGGATGAATCTGAAGTAGTATGCCTCTGAACTGCATTTCGAGACACACTGATTTAAAGCTGTGTCTGTCTGCCACCAGTTACACAGAGTTTGTTCTAGGGAAGTGTCTGGGCACAATGCCAGTTGAACTACCTCCCTGGTAGAGCACACCTGTGCACATCAGTCATTCCTACTATATTTTCTCTTTTTTCTCCATTCATATTTCTCTGGTGTTTCCCATATCCATACAACTTTGCCAAGTCTTTGCTAATGGAAACATTGTACAATTGGCAAAAAGGGTTGTTATGTTTGTTAAGTGAGGATCCCCTGCCTTCTAAGGCACTTTCACTGTAAACTATTTCTTGGGAATGTGGGAATTCCACAAAGAACCATGCTCAGAATTTACATCAAAGTCACTCTCCCTCAAGAGAAATCTGCATCCGGTTAATCTAGGCAAGCAGACTCAGCAACCAGACCCAACATCCTTCTGTGCCTGGAGGTGTTAGTGTTTAAAATTCCAGTAAAAAAGAGAAATGACAGTTAAAGAGGTAATTGAGCATCTGTGGTTTTTCTGTTTTCTTCTCTATCTCTGAAGCTTGAGAAGCAACACAGATGAATGAGCCATTTCCCGATCCAGGAGCAGCTGTGAAGTGTGGAAAAATGGCAATGATTACGGGCAAGGAAAGAGTCAAGAGCTGAGGTCTAGGGTTGAGTTAGTCCCTCTGGACATCTTGAGTTGGGACAGGGCTTGTCACTGACACATCCAGAGACTTGTCCCTGCACTGTGTCACAGAGCTTTTCTCTTTTCCTCTGTCTTATTTAGTTGCTAATGGAGATGAAGACAGGGTTGAGAGAAATAAAGCTGTATTCAGAGGCAACCAGGCTGAGTTTGAGGTCTAAATTTGGATGGCTAGATAAAGATGCCATGAAAATAATAATCATAGTAATAGTAACAATGGCTTTTATATATACTACATATTGTAGGTAGAAAAATTGCTAAAATTTGGATTCCAGGAAGATTTAAGTAGTCAGCTTAGACACAGGGATGTGGCCATGAGTCAACACTTTGAAAAGAACTAGGGCACACTGGAATTTTTTTTCCAGAAAGGTTACAGAAAATAATGATAACTAACTATGAAGTTCTAGATACATCTAAATGCCTACTTCTTTTAGAATGACATGTTTACGTATGTTGTTTGTTTTTTTGTCAGTCGTTCCTTATAGATGCTAAGGTCAAGTTTACTACTGTACACTCAACATTGAACCTGCACTCAGCAGGTACTCAAAACAATAAACAGCATGTGTCACATGAATGAATGACAACTCCAACTCCAAAACTAATAATAAGCCCTATGTTTTACAAAAGCAAGCTAAAAAGAAAAAAACCACACACACACATATACACAAAGGAATTTTTCAGAAGTATGACTCAGAAACATCTCAATTTTTTTCCAGAAAGGTTACAGAAAGGAATGGTAACTCATTATTAAGTCCTAGATACATCTAAATGCCCACTTCTCCCCAAATCCTCAGATAATTTTAAGTAAAGGATATGAAGGTTGTGCAAAATATTTGAGATGCTAAAAGGAGGGGGCTTGTTAAGTTTGGAGCATTTGGGTGAGAAGGTCACAGCTGAATAAAAGAATGGGGTTAAATTTGGACCATTGGGGTGAGAAAGTCACCACTGAATAAAAGAATGGGGTTGATTATCATTAGGTAGGTCCACCAGCATCAAAGTTACCTTCTTTTCCCTAATAAATGTGCAGCTTTTAGGAGGAATTGGGGATTTTCCCTCACTGGTACCAGGCAGACACTAAAAAGAGATCATATAGAAAAGACTGAGGTTGAGGGAGCAGCAAATACATGGTAATAGAAGAGCAACTAAATTGCTAGGCTAACAAACTTCTGAGGATGCCCTACTGTGAGCAGTTTAAGACTTAGGAAGATGAAGTCCTGAGCTATCTCGTATGGTGAAGATCGTATGGGGGTTAGTGGGAAGTCCCAGAGGAAGAGTTTTCCCTAATCCCATTCAGAGCCCGGAGAGGGGAGGGGAATGACTATTTAGAAAGTGAACAGAATTAAAATTATGTATATTTCTCTAGAAAGTTTCAATAAATTACATTTTACTTCAAATAAAATGCAACCTAGGCTACTATGTCCAGTTCAGCTTTTTAATCCAAACTCAAGTCCAGGAAACATCAGAAGCAATATTAAACCAACCAGTCAAGAGTTACCATTAGTGAAACTATTATGTTTGACAAAATAAATCCAAGTTTTTTCACCTGGTAAAGTTAACTTCCTCCTCCTTGCTTCCCTGCCCCTCCTTTGCTTAGTTTCTTGCAAAAAAAACCGGAAAATTCATCTTCATCCTTTCCCCTTGTTTTCTCTGAATGCCAAAGAAACCATTTTGGTTTTGTTCTTGTTTCAAGAAAGCAGCCAAAAGTCAGAGAGTAGTGTGTTTTAATTCATTTTTAAAAACAAACGTACACAGATTGATTCTTCAGGTCCCTTGACTTGGACCTGGCACATTATGAAGTCCAAACAACTCTGCATAGTTACATTAAACAGGTTCTTGTGCTGCAAAGTCACTGGGTGCAAATAGCAATAAAACATTCCCAAGACAATCACTAGACATGCAGAACACCAGCCAGAAGCATGGATCACTTTCAGGGTCTTGCTGCAGGGAGCATGAGGTTGTGTTTTGTGTGCATTGACAACTGTATAGGGCAAGCCAGCTGTGTCCAAGGGAGCAAAGCACCCCCTATTCCTCTGAACATAAAGGGAGTTTCTCCCAAAAGAAGTGTGTTTTCAATTCCTAAACTTTGGGGCTTCTTGGAGAGTCAAAGCCAAGTCACCATGAGCATGAAAGCTGACTGAGCCCCTCCCTTCCCACTCTCCAGCATGGAGAGAACAATTGCCATTCACCCCATGGATCCAAAAGAATTCCCCCTCCCCACCCATGCCTGGGTTTAAGCGTGGACGCAGGCCAAGCAAGCCTCGAATACCAAGGTCTGTTTGATTGTAGCTATGTTGTGTATCCTGTGTACGAGGTGAAAAGTGCTTTTTTTTTCTACCTGATCCAGTTAGGGGAGCGAGCATGGGGCCTGGCTCCCTGATGGCCCCTAGCCCATGTGCTTATACTCAGATCGGTCCCGAGGGATCTGCACCTGGTTGGCAGTCATTTTGTGGTGGATGTGGTAAATTGCGAGGGTTACCACAATGATGAGGCCCAAGATGAGCCCCAGGACCAGGGGCAAGGTTTCTTCCAGTTGTTCCCTCTCATCCACTGGGCATTTATGCTCTGAAATGGGAAAAAGAAAAGCAGTGAGCTCCAGTCAAAGCATTTCAAATCATGAATTCTAGCTGAACTAAAAAGGAAATGGAGGTGAAAAGATTTCTCAAGGAACCTTTGGAAGACAGCTTTTCAGAAATAATATTCCCTAACCATCCCCAGGGTTAACCTCTTAATATTTCTACAAAATGTAAAATTAAAGTGTACCAATTAAACAGGACAATCTTGATCAGATTTCTGTCAGATGTCAACAAAACATCCAGATAACTTATTTAAATTTTCAGAGTTTGAACACTAGATACAACCACCATTACTTTATTGTTGATTTTTTTGAAGTTTTTATTTAAGTATTACGTACACAGAAAGAATTGCATAAAATATATATTTTTCAAAAGAACTGAAAATACCAGGTGTTGGCAACGATATGGAAAAACTGGAACTCTTAACACATGGTAGAAAATAGTAAAACTACTCTGTTTGATAATTTCTAATAAGGAAAAAATACCCACCATTCCATTCCTAGGTATTTGGCCAAGGAAAATGAAAACATATGAACAAAAAAAGACTTTAACATGAATGTTCATAAAAGCTTTATTTATAATAGCCTAAAACTGGAAATATCCACTATGTCCATCAAAGTGGAATGCATACATAAATTCATATAAGGAAATAGTAGTCAGTAATAACAACGAATAAACTATGGCTACACACAACAAATATGTTGAGTAAAAATTGCCAAACACAAAAGTAGTACATATTGTATGATTCCATTCATATGAACTATGTGGTAAAACTAACTCTATGGTGACAGAAATCAGGCCACGCTTACATCTGGAGAAAGGAATACAGGGAGACTTTTGAGTGTGGTTGAAATGTAGATCTTGATCTAGGTGATGTTAACAGAAGTATAGGAAAACAAAAAAAAGCATTGAGCTATATACTTTAGATTTGTACATTTAAAATTTTTAATTGTTATATAATAGTATGTATATATTTATGGGGAACACGTGATATTTTGTTACATGCATAGAATATGTAATGATCAAGTCAGGGTATTTATGGTATCCATCACCAAAAGTATATAATCATTTCTTTTTTTCTTTTTTTGAGTTGGAATCTCAACTCTGTCACCCAGGCTGGAATGCAGTGGCACACTCATGGCCACCCCAGCATCGACTTATTGGGCTCCTACAATCCTTCTGCCTCAGTCTTTCAAGTAGCTGGAACTACAGGCATGCTCTACCATGCCCAGCTAATTTTTGATTTATGGTAGAGACAAGATTTTGCCAAGTAGCCTGGGCTAATCTTGAACTCACGGGCTCATACAATCCAGTCTCCCAAAGTGCTGGGATTACAGGCTGAGCCACCGAGCTCAGTCATATTTAATCATTTGTATGTTTTGAGAACACAGCAAGTTTTCACTTTCTAGCTATTTTCAAATACACAATATGTGGTTGACAATAGTCACCCTTCTCTCTAGTGAACATTAGAGTTATTTCTTCTCACTGTATATTTGTATCTGTGAACCAACCTCTCTTTATTCATCCCCACAGTCACATTTTTCTCAGTCTCTGGTAAATATTATTCTACTCTTTATCTCCATGTGTTCAATATTTTTGGCTCCCACATACGAGTGAGTCCATGTGATGTTTGTTTTTCTGTTTCCGGTTTAATTCACTTTAACATAATGACCTCCATTTCCATCCATGTTGCTACAAATAACAGGATTTCATTCATTTAATGGCTGAAGAGCATTCTGTTGTGTGAACATAACACATCTTCTTTATCCATTCATTTGATGATGGACACTTAGGTTGATTCCATGTCTTTGCTATTGTGAATAATAGTGCTGCAATAAACATGGAGGTGTATGTAATGTATGTAAATTATACTATATTTTTTAAAAATCATAGAGCCTAATGAATTTTCACAAATGAATATTCCCATGTAGAGGCCCAAGATCAAAAATAAACAACCTGTCAGCAACACCTCAGAATGGGTTCATTTTTACCCTCCTAAAATGCAAGATATTTTAATAGTCCTGTGTCTCCATTTTTACACAGAACCAAAATAAATTGTTGGGAGATCTTTCAGTGGCCAAATAGTTTGTAGAGCTAACCGGAATTGTATTCCTAGAAACCAGAACAGGCTTATCTGCTCTTGGTGGGTAGGTAACTGGTGGCCTTTTCACCAAATTTATGAGGCAAAACTAAAGAAAATAGACTTTAGATGTCTCTTCATATAAGACCAATATTTTAAGTCAAGATGACTCTGTAAACATTTATGGAGTACCTACTGTATGCCAGGCTCCTCCAGATTCCCTGTTAACACAGTTCCTTCTCTCACCTTGCCTGAGATCAGTGGAAAGGACAGGGTAAGCCCTAAGCCCCAGGAGTCTTTTTTCTCCAATAATAATAAGTGGAAACTTTCATGCAAATATACAGCTTTTAAAAAGCTGTCCACTCAACATTCCTTACTTCCAAATTAACATTCAGCTCTAAGCACAAAGATTCTCTCACTTAATCCCCATAACAAGCCCATATGGTCAATAATATAATTATATCTATCATGTATATAAGGTCACTGAGGCACAAAGATGCTAAGTAATTGACCCAGGGAAAAATGCAATCTGATCTGCACTCAAAAACAGCTTAACTGAACATATAGTAGGAACAGAGTTTAGACCCAAGCTACCAGCGTTAGAAGATTACAGAATCCCAAGGTGAAGTGAGAAAGGAGGGTTGTCTGTTCAGTTTCTTGATCTGTATACTGGCATACTGGTCACAGAGGTACATTCAGTAGCTGAAAATTCAGTAGATGAAAATTCAGTAGCTGAAAATTCAGTAGCTGAATAATTAATACAAAAGTGTATGAGGAAACTTTCAGGGGTGATGAATATGTGAATTTTCTTGATCGTGGTTATGGTTTCACAGGCATATCCACAAGCCAATATTTATCAAATTGTGCATTTAAATGTGTCCAGTTTATTGTTTGTCAACTATACCAGAATACAATTTATATATACACATAAAAGTTTTCTAACTGAAAACATTTATATAAAATGTTATATGTACATGTATACATATAAAGTTTTATATTCCAGCAGAAAACAAGACATTTTTCTAAAAATAGATTTTTAAAAAAAGTTTGGCAAATGGTAGAGAAGTGTTAAGAACCTATTAGCACTAAACTGACACTTTCTTCTTCTTACAACCAAAAGTTTGCAAAATAACTAGTAGGCAATACTTCTTTCTGCATTACTTGATTCAATTCTAGTAAGCCCAGCACTGCAAGGATCGACCTGGTCCAATACATCCATTTCCCCAGGGACAAGACCTACTGAGATGACACACGGTACCAGGGACAGTGGCAGACCTAGAAATCCATAACACCCAAGTGTTGGTCTTTTTCTCCAACATGGTACCATATTGCCTCTTTGAAGAGAACAATGAGTAGGAATGGGGTCATGTGGGATAAGAATTTTGTTGACAACAAAGGTTATTTTGCTTTCCCCACCAAAGTACTCTGTTCCCTGTATAATAGTAACATAGCTTGTGGAGTTTGCTTGTTTTAGGGTACTAGAAACAACCTCATACTATTATTTCCTACTTAAGAAAATACATTGAATAAAATTTTTTAAATAAAAAATAAAAGTACTTTAATTTCAAATTATTTTGTAAAAAGGCTGAGTGTGCTAAATTTAAAAAAAAAAAAAAAAACCTACGAAAAATAACAAAAACATCAGGACCTTCAGACTCTCATCTATGCATGACTCCAAATAGGCTCCTGGCATCTTTGCAATGTTGCCTTCTGGCTTTTCCTTTCCCTCTGCCTCTTCCCTTTCTGAATCTTCCTCTTGCAGAGCAGTTTCATGGTTAGACCAGCCTGTTGGACCATAGCTTTAACTCATTTCTTCCTGTTTGGCATCTAGTTACTCAGGCAAACAACCAGCCAGGGGGCCCAAATAGCTAACCAGGGTTAGCATCTACTCTCCTAGGCAGTATGGGAGACACAGTGGGAAACAGAGCTGTGTCAGGGAACAAGAGCTTATATAGCTAAACCACTGGAGAACAAGACCAGATGGCCGCAACTGTAAGTGCTCAGAACAGGGAGTTGGCTGAATAGTCAAGGAAAACTTCATGAAGAAGGGAGAGTGGAGTCAGGCTGAAAATAATCTGGAGATGGTCCACCAAGCTACTTTGACCAATTCATGTAGTCATATTTTCTCTTTTGTATACCATACCAATAAATAAACAGATAGATAGATAGATACAGCTATAGAAATGGAGATACAGATGAATGTTTAGCAATCTCCATAGATCCCTCTACCACATCAAGAGGGAGCAGGGGTAATGAAACACTATTAGTGAGACAGATAAAAGTGAGTTCAAATCCCAGGTCCTCTACTTTCCAGCTAAGTAAACTGAGCAATCTTTTAAGCTACCTAAGCATCAAATATCATATGACAGAAGGCCAAGCACAGCACCTGGCACAGAGGAGTTTTTCTGTCATTGTTCACCAGAAAGACAAAAGTTTTACATATTCAAGTCTTGTATACACTTCTTTTAAGTATGGAAGTCTTTGGAGTTTACATATCAAAAGTATTTCCCTAAATGGATAATAACTCAAGTGGAAGGAATAATATCTCATACCCCATCCTTTAAGAAAGATGGAAAAAGATGATGTATTCTGACACACAAAAAAAGAAATATAGTTGAAATGTTATCAAGATTATTTCTCACTTTTGTTATTGTTATTACCTGAAGAAAATCTTGAACCAAATACACCATAACAAAGGAGAATATAAAGAGGATATAAACCTAAGGAGGTATCAAAAATTATCATGGATATACTGAAACCCTACACTTACTCTCCCCCAATAAGCGGTCAAATTAAAGAGAACTCCTGAGTCCACTATCTTGTACCCAATGCTCCAAAATGTACAAAGTACTGGGAACCAAAAGGACTTTGCATAACTCATTTGCCAGCAAAAGCTGGCTTAATCCAAT